AACCATGTGGAAGATTCTATAGTTTAAATGGCTGCTGTTTATAAAGTTACAAAACCAAAATTACCAGAGATAATTTAAGTTATTAAACTGTAATAAGAGATAAAATGGGGTTCAAAATGTTATCCATTCATTTATAAATGATATGACTGTATACCAGCTTCAAACTAAATGTTTCCCAGCAGACTGACTAAAGACATTTCTCCCTCTTCCTCCTCTATCAGACCTTCTCTGCTCCTGCAGCAGGTTCCTCCATACCTGAGAGCTTCCAGTCTCCAGTGTGGATCCTTCAGTCCAGCCGACAGCAGCTTCACTCCTGAGTCTCCTGGATGATTGTAGCTCAGGTCCAACTCTTTCAGATGGGAGGGGTTGGAGGTCAGAGCTGAGGCCAGAGAAGCACAGCCTTCCTCTGAGACCAAACAGCCTGATAAGCTGCAGACACACAATTCATCACATGATGAGAAAATGAGAACATTGAGGAAGAAACCAAGGTCTGAACTGATGCATGGATGGCCCAGAGTTACCTGAGAGTTTCCAGGTTGCAGTTTGGACTCTTCAGTCCAGCAGAGAGAAGCTTCACTCCTGAATCCTGCAGGTTGTTGTTACTCAGGTCCAGTTCTCTGAGACTGGAGGACTGGGAGCTGAGAACTGAGGACAGAGCTTCACAGCTTCTCTCTGAGAGGTTACAGCCACTCAGTCTGAGGAGACAGGGAGGGAAATATGAACAAATACTTCAAAATTTCTGATTTTTGTTCCAGTCAACAATTTCTTGTACACAGATTGAAAAAAATAGCATATTTTCGACATTTTATGATAAATGTATTGTGAACTAGTTTATTCTATATTTGAGTCTCCAGATTTAAAAGACTGCAATACAGCAGCCAGCAAAGAGGTTGGCAAAAGAAACTTTAATTTCTACAATGCATTGTATTAATCCAGTGTCAGTTTCAACAGAAAAAATAATTTCTGCTACTTGAAAATGTAACATTATGAATAGTCTCCTATGAGAGACAGTCTCTCTTTTACTCAGCATCTGCTAGCGGTCAACATTGAGGAGCCAATGCACAAGTAAACAAACTGATAAAGCATGACTCAATATTTATCTCATTGACAGATCTCTATCAAAAAATAACTGCAGTAACAATCTTTGTCCTTACAGAGTTTTGTTGGAGGCCTTAACCACTGGCAGCAGCCTCAGAAGAACCTCCTCTGAAGCAGAGTATTTCTTCAGGTCAAACACATCCAGATCTTTTCCTGATGACACTAAGATGAAACCCAGAGCTGACCACTGAGCAGGAGACACTTTATCTGTGGAGAGACTTCCTGAACTCAGAGACTGTTGGATCTCCTCCACTAGAGAACGATCATTCATTCATTCATTCAGACAGTGGAACAGATTGATGCTTTTCTCTGCAGACACATTTTTGTTGATCTTTTTCTTGATGTACTGAACTGTTTCCTGATTGGTCTGTGATCTACTTCCTGTCTTTGTCAGAAGACCTTGTAGGAGTCTCTGATTGGTCTGCAGTGAAAGTCCCAGGAAGAAGCGGAGGAACAAGTCCAGGTGTCCATTTGGACTCTGTAAGGCCTGGACAACAGCTCTCTGATGGAGAGAAATTATTTTACGTTTATTAAATAGTGAAGATTTCTTAGATCTTTGTGTTTTTTCCATCAGGTTGACTCCAGAGTTGATAAATGTCAGATGAACATGAAGAGCAGCCAGAAACTCCTGAACACTCAGATGGACGAAGCAGAACACCTTGTCCTGGTACAGACCTCTCTCCTCTTTAAAGATCTGTGTGAACACTCCTGAGTACACTGAGGCTGCTCTGATATCGATGCCACACTCTGTCAGGTCTGATTCATAGAAGATCAGGTTTCCTTTCTGCAGCTGATCAAAAGCCAGTTTTCCCAGAGACTCAATCATCTTCCTGCTCTCTGGACTCCAGTGTGGATCTGTTTCAGCTCCTCCATCATACTTGACCTTCTTCACTTTGGTCTGAACCACCAGGAAGTGGATGTACATCTCAGTCAGGGTTCTGGGCAGCTCTCCTCCCTCTCTGGTCTCCAATACATCCTCCAGAACTGTAGCAGTGATCCAGCAGAAGACTGGGATGTGGCACATGATGTGGAGGCTTCGTGATGTCTTCATGTGGGAGATGATCCTGTTGGCCTGTTTCTTATCTCTGAATCTCTTCCTGAAGTACTCCTCCTTCTGAGGGTCATTGAACCCTCTGACCTCTGTCACCATGGCAACACACTGAGGAGGGATCTGATTGGCTGCTGCAGGTCGTGTGGTTATCCAGAGGAGAGCAGAGGGAAGCAGTTTCCCCCTGATGAGGTTTGTCAGCAGAACATCCACTGAGGTGGACTCTGTAGCATCAGTCAGGATCTCCTTGTTGTGGAAGTCCAGTGGAAGTCGACTCTCATCCAAGCCATCAAAGATGAACAGAACCTGGAAGTGTTCAAAGCTGCAGATTTCTTTGGTTTCACTAAAGAAATGATGAACAAGTCCCACCAAACTGAACTTTTTCTCTTTCAGCACATTCAGCTCTCTGAAGGTGAATGGAAATATGAACTGGATGTTCTGGTGGGCTTTGTCTTCAGCCCAGTCCAGAGTGAACTTCTGTGTTAGGACTGTTTTCCCAATGCCAGCCACTCCCTTTGTCATCACTGTTCTGATTGGTTGATCTCTTCCAGGTGGGACTTTAAAGATGTCTTCTTGTCTGATTGTTGTTTCTGGTCTGTGTGGTTTCCTGGATGCTGTTTCAATCTGTCTGACCTCATGTTCATCATTGACCTCTCCAGTCCCTCCCTCTGTGATGTAGAGCTCTGTGTAGATCTGGTTCAGAAGGGTTGGACTTCCTGCTTCAGCAATTCCCTCAAACACAGACTGGAACTTCTTCTTCAGACCAGATTTAAGTTTATGTTGACAAACTGCAGCAAAATATCCTATATTAACACAATAACAAAAGTCAGATGTGAAAGAAAATCATCTTTTGAATTTGATTACATCACTTCAGCAAATGTGTAATTTATAATTTCAAATCTCTTTAGAAATCCTCTTACTGGTCTGCAGATGGTCAGCCAGCTTTTCCTGTTTCATCTTCTTCAGGAAGTTCAGTGTGATCTTCATCACTGCCTCTCTGCTGCTCCTCCTCTGCTCTTCATCATCACCTTCCAACAACATCATCATCTCTCTGACTCTCTGAATGTTCTGGGTAATCTGGACTCAGAACCTTTTTAATCTTCTTCAACTCGTTCTTCACAAAAGTGACAATGTTTTCCTCCAGCAGCTGGAACAGAATAATAGATGGACACATGGGACTGAAATCATGGAGCCAAACACCAGATGGATGTTGGACAGACTGACAGTCCTCTGGTCTACAAAGTGAAGCATGGAGATGAATGTGAACAGAACTCGTGGAAAATTAATTGTTGTTCATATACAGACCATAAATATGGAGTCCAGCTGTGTTTGATGCTGCTGGGCAGATGGACCACTGGGAACCTCTGAGGTCTGCCGGTCCACTCTGTGGAGGAACCAGGAACAATTAGGAAGTGTTGAGAACATAAGTCTCATTAGCATAACTTTAAAGACAGTCAACCTTTATGCATATGAAATATTAGATGCTGCATGAACATTTAGAGTAGATTTCAAGTTAGGTAAACTTAGACAAAGATCCAAACTAAAACAACTGGTGACTCTCTGAACTTACATAAATTTCTAAGGAGGGTTTTCTGACAGGCAGTGTTGGAGTCCCATAAGGAGTCTGCAGACAGGGAGTCTATCAGTCATCAGCATCAATACATTTTTTGTTGTCGGTTCAAGAGTTCAGTGAAACATTAAAACTTTAAAAAGTCTTCTCCAAAGTATAATCAAACGCATTAAGATATTTCCTTTAAGCATTAACAGCATGATTGAATTAGTTAGCTTTTAACCATACTATTTGCATGCATTCTATATTATTGAAATACGATAGGATCAGGAAACTATTTTACTTCTAAATTTCAGGTATTCTAAAAAATAGCTTTTCCAAAAGTGGATAACCCTGTTATTGTTAGATCCAAACTTATAGTTATTATTTGGCATTTCATTTTTGTGCCAGTTTGTTTAAAATAAAATCAGTTTCTTGCTGAATCTCTGAGGCAGAGAGGACTGTCCAGCTGCAGGTCATAAATCATGGCCTGGAACGTAAAAAGGAGGAGACTGGCACTGGAAGATCTGGGTGTTTTAGCAGGTCTCAGAGGTAATAAAATTAACTTTGAGACAGCCCTATAAGGGGAACAACACACCTCCTAATGCATATATTTAAATGAAGGGAATACACGTTCTTATAAAAAGCTCTGTTTTACAGCAGAAGCTCCAATCACTTTGTGCCCGAGTGAGCGACTCTCAAAAATGCAATTTTGTTTTGTTTTTTCTTTTCAACTCGTCCCAGGGAACGCTTTCTGTGTTGTTATGTGTCAGACTTTTTGATGATCTGGGTGTAATGCTGATGTAACATTCTGTATGAATTGAATTCTCTGGAGAAAGCTCTTATATGTCTGAAGTCTCATGTCGTATGATTGTTCTTTATTATTTCTCTGCGCTTGGCGGAGACTGATGCACCTGGGAAAAAGTGAAGCTATTTTCTCTGTTCTTAACAGAAGTCAGAAAATATTCATCCAACAGTTTTCATGGAGGAAATCACCAGGAGTTTCACATTACAAATACTTGAAGCAGTAAAACAGAGCATCACATCAGCACAATACAAAGGAGTTAGAAAGAGGAAAATGGATCACAGTAACACTAGAATCACTCAGATTATGTAAAAAAGTTGATATTGCACTTTAATCACTCCACACTGTCAACAGAATAAATAAAAACTGGGATATTCATACTGGTTCAGTTTCCACACTAACAGGAATTAAAAACAGCTCACCTCTCTGATGGTGGAGATCCAGGAGATTTAAAGTCAATGATGTCATCCTTTGACCTGTTGCTCTTAAAGGACACACAGCTGGGTTCTGGTTCTGGTTCTGGTTTGAGTCTCTGATGGATCCTGACAGAAACATGATGATTAAAACTTAATCAGCAAAGAGGAGCAGCAGCAGCTTCATCACCACGTCTGTTCTGGCCTGATATAGTGAACGCTGTGTGAAAAGGGCTGTGGACAGTTAGAGATGGTGACCTCACCTCTGACCTTTGCTCTGGCTCTCATCTTCCCCACACAGAGTGGTTTTAGAGGGAGGGACTCCCTCCTCTCTGTCCTCACACTGATCCATGCTGCTGAATCCACATCAGCTCACACACACTTTCTAGCTTCACCTGCAGAGGAAACACACATCATTCATCTGCACATCAACTCTGATCATCCTTTACATCATTAGTGCTGGAAAAAGATCAGCTGCTCCTCCTCTGATTGGCTCTTCTTCTCTGCTTCATATCAGTGTCAGGTGAATGCAGTCAGACAGCAGAGAGGCAGAGGAAGCTGCCATCAGCTGCTGCACTTCTACTATCAGTCCACTAGATGGAGATATGGAGCAACATTTACATTCGCTAATTCAACCTGAACAACAGGAAATATTTTAATTAATGATTAAACTCTACAAGTGGATTAGTTTCTGCATAAAACTATTATAATCACTTGAACACATTTCAACAAAAATATTTAGTAAAAATAATACATAATATTCACTTATTTTGAAAGGATGCAACAAGAAACTTTTGTTCCTGACTTTAACAGTTTGACTCATGGAGGTAAAAACATGAAGCAGAAAAGAAAACATAGAAACACCAGCTGCTCATCATGTTGTTTGATTCTTGTTCATTAGTAATCAAATATTGTTGTAAATTAACCTTCAAACAGAAGAGAGATCAAACTGAGTGGAAGTCAGAAGTGATGCTTCTTCTCCAAACATCAAAAACATATAAAAAGGTTCCAGTAGACAAAGTTCAAGTAGGAAACCAAGCAAACTTACAGTTTCTTCATACGGTTCAAAAAGTTGAAGAGTGTCTGAACAACAAACTGAGACCTAATAGAGCCTCGGTAGACTCAGACTAATGCCACACCTGTACAGAGACAACAGATCTGGACTTTTACCTTACCTGAACAACTCAAAGTTCAAACTCAATGTGTGAAAAGTGTTTGCATAAGTGATTATTTGACGGCACACCTGGTTTGTAGTGTCTTCTTTCTTGCGGTGAAGGTTTGCTGTAAAATCAGAGGCAGGTTGATATAATCTCCATGATGAAATGAGCCCAGAGAAAAGAAAAGCTGGTTTCCTTATTTTGCAGTATCTGATCAAACAGAATAAACATAAAACTAAACTAAACTATAATCCTTAACATCACCACACTACTGCAGCTGAAACCACACATTGTTCTAATGCATATTATTCCTAAAGCTCCTATATAATCATTGATCATGATGTTAGTGTGGTGAGCAGAGTGAGGACAGTCTCTGGTTAAAACCAGGATCAGCTGAGGAGGTTCTGCTGATCCAGGTTGAAATTTCATTTCAATCATCATCCTGAATTTAAAGTCAGAGTCAGATCAAGAGCAGAGGACAAATGCAAACAGAAGCTGGGAGTATGGATCAAATTGAATGTTTTGAAACCTGAAAACACACAGAAATCACAAGGAGCCAGAGCAGACCAAAAACAGGAACCAGGAGCAAAAATAAGCAGAATATCAAAGGCAAGCAACCAGGACATGATGGGATTTAAGAGAAGGGAACAGCAATAAGAGTGAGCAAGAGAAGAGAATAAATACTGTGAGGGTGAATGCTGGAACAAAAGACCTGGGCTGATTAACAGGTTGGAGGAAAGAGAGAAAATGGCACAGGGGGCAAAGAGAGAACACCAGGGAAACTAGAAAAAAAAACAAGATACCACATTGTAACTGGACCTAAGAAACATAAAATAGCAAGAATAACAAGAAATTAAAGTAAAAATAGAAACAAGACTAATCTAATTAAAGAAAGGAACGAAGGACTGCAGAATAACCAAACCTCAAATTCAACTCAAACCAACCCAGGTCATAACTGCTGAACAAGGAAACACGATGAATCCAGCTGAAATAGCTCCTGTCTAGCCACTCAAAGACATACCTCCAAACATTGTAAGTGAGCTGAGCCGGTTTCCTGTCGTACAATCGGTCAAACATCCCAAACTTTTTCAGGATGTCCAAACTGCTTTACCAGATCCTGACCCGGCCCAAAGACCAGCTGCCACCACTCATGTGCGCCTAGTACAAAAAAGGTGCAAAAAATCAAAAGATGACACAACTTAACACACTCATAAGATGGAGCAAATATTCACACCCCTTTATTAAATCATGAACTAACTGTGATTAAACCACATGTTTTTAGGAATCTGAGCTAATTTTCCCAGTGAATCCAGACCTGATTATTATCTGACCTGCATATACAATAAATTATTTTAATAGAACCTCTCTGATGGATGATGGTTTATTTTTGGTCTAAGAAATAAAATGCTTTTGTAAGGATCATGTAATCACATCCTGGAAAGTCCTTTATAGTTTATCTTTGCTCTAAAGTTATGAAAACCCGAAACCTCTCCCTTTTTAACAGAGATCAATAACCAAACACTCTGATCTTTGCTTAATCTGCCAGTTTGACAAATATAAATGAACATCGCTTCAAAATGTGTGTATTTTATTACTTCTGAGTGGGAAAGTGTTTCTGAAATGGAGCAGGAAATACATTTCATAACAGCTGATTTGCATGTGATCAAGACAAGAAGGCAGCGGTCAACACACACACACTCAGTGGTGTGTTCACACACACTCTGCAGAACTTTGTGTTCATCAGGAGGTCGATTGTTTCAGGTTTGAGCTAAAACAGAAGCAGCAGCACTTCCTCTACAGGAGAAAACACACGAGGTCATGAGGTCAAGCTTTGTGACAGTAAATAAAACACATGAATAATCTCTTGGTTTGCTAAATTATAATAAAACATGATATTTATGTTGTGAACAATTAAATAATTTTAGCTTGGATTGGCTCTGAACACATCATAAATCACTGATTCATTATAAAAACTTTGACTAGACTCAGAGTAGACTTATGTAAATATACATGATGAAGTATTTAAATTCAGCATTTCACTGAAAAAGTAATTAAAGTGTAGATACAGGGATAAAGATTAGCATGCTAACCCCTCAGGTTTCCCATCAGCCACTTGGGTTTCAGGATGACCAACATTTTTAAACATGGCTGCTAATTTTGAGCCTTTTAAACCAGATATGGACATTAAATGTTCCCTGTTAGAGATTCAGGTTTTAACTTATGGATCTTTGTCATTAAATTTGATTTAATTATTGGGGAATAATAAAAAAAATTGACAAGGAATAAACTAAAAGTTAGGTTTTTGGAGGTGAAATGATTAATTGTTTAATAAAAATGGAAAATTAATCATATAGAATTAATGAGATTATTTTATTGTGAAATTTTAAACACATTACATTTGTACTTTCACTTTGTGTAAAGAGTATTAAGTACTAATTGAATTCATATAAAACATGCAGTTTTTTCATGTTATTGAACGTAGGCAGCCTTCAAAATGAGCGGTCCTTATTTTTCTGTGATGCTTCCAGTCTCTGCGTTGTCCTGTTTCCCCTTGATTGTTCCCAGGTGTTTCTCGTTTCTGTGATTACCATCTGTGTATTTAATCCCACGGTTGTCCTTTGTTCCTCATCGGGTCCTCATCGTTCTTCACATCATTTTGTCAAGCCTGTTCTTCTGTCCACCAGGATGAACAGTTGCTACAGGCGTTGAGCCCTGGCTTCAGCTCAGCCATGCTGCTGTTTTTGTGTTTCCACTTGGACTATTTTTACTATTAAAACCATCATTTAACTGTATCCTGGGTTTTCTGACTGCTGCTTCACCACCAGTATACCAGCATCTCTTGATAGAGTGAAGCTATGACAAGAAAAAAAACTGAAAAACATGTGGATCCTGGAATAATCCTGGAATAATCCTGGAATAATCCCAGCTTCCATCTTTAAAGGACTAGAAGAAGAAAAAGTTTCCAAGGACTCAATCAGAATTGTTTCAACAAGAAATAGATTGTAGAGACTGAACTATCTGCTCAACAGTGAGAGAGTTTCTCTGACAGGAGGAAAAACTTTAGACTCTTTAGACTCAAATCAGCTCAGAAATACTGAGGAGAAACCAAAACTGAACCAGAATCCAAATCCAGTAATCAGAGGTTCAGTGAATGTGGTGTTGAAGGTGTGGAGGAGGATCAGTGAGTCAGAGGAGACTCTGTAGAAGGACAGAATGCCAGCAGGACAGTCCACATACACTGCTACTCTGTTAGAGACAGAGGAGGAGGAGAGACGAGTTTCTATGTTATTGTGTCTGACAAAGTAACCATGACGATCAAAGCATCTCAGACTCCAGGAATGATCATTCCCTCCAAACCAACAGTCTCTACTGTTTCCTTTCCTCCTGATTCTTCTGTAACTCACTGATATATCAACTTTTCTTCTCCACTCAACCTCCCAGTAACAGCGACCAGTCAGACCAGTTCTACACAGCAGCTGAGGATAATAATCAAATCTGTCTGGATGATCAGGATATGACTGAAGCTCCCCCTCATATGTCACCTTCCTGTTGTCTTCAGACAGTTTGAGTTCTCTGCTCACTGTGTTTGTGTCGATGGTGAGTTGACAGGAATCTGATGGAGAACAAACACAATCCAGCTGCAGTTATTGATCATTTATTGACACTTTGACTCCTGAATGAGTGATGTGACAGTTTGAAGATGGTTGAATGTGAGCTGCTTTGTTGTCATGAATCAGATGAAAAACACACTTACATTTCCTCAGACCTGGAGTCAAGAATCGGCCTCCAGCAGGCTCCACCCTGAAAGGAGGAGGGGGTCAGACCATCAGTCTCTTTCAGCAGCAAACATGGACATTACATGTCTCTCAGACACACATTGTCCTCGAGAGGGTCTTGACTGCAGCCTGCAGAAAGGGGCGGGGACGGACCACTGTCAGTCTCAGACCTTATATGGAAACGGGACTATTGCATTCCGGAAATGAAGGGGGCGCTATTTTCACAATCACTAATACCTTAAAGAAGCGGGGTGAAGAGGTCGATTGGAAGAAGTTTGAGAGGTTTCGCCATTGACGTTCGGAACGCTATTCATAATGGAACAAGCACAAAGTCAGCAAAAGGTATTTTCTACCTTATTAAAACTTTTTTCACATAGTACATCAAAGCGCCTTTTCTAGATTAGGTTGAAAATATAATTGACAGCTGCAAACGAGTGAAATTCATAGTTCGTACAGGGGAAGGCAAATTTTAGCATGTAGCATAGCTAATTATTTCCGTGCAGGGCATCATTAGATAAAAATCGAAAAGTAGAAAAATGTATACTTCAGAAATGTATTTTATGCCCCAATTTTTTTTTTTCGTTATACAGATGCACTTATCAATTTGCAACATTGGGATCGGACAGAAAATTCTTCCCGTACTGTCTGAAGACAAATACCGCTGTCCCCTTTGCTCATACAGTGCGGAGGAGTCTTAAAGGTACAGAACCACATAGCAACAACTGCTATGGTTCAACATAACAATATGTAAAACTACACTTATGAATGTTTTTTTTTTTTACATTCTTATCAGTTTTCTAGTGTTTTTATTTTATTTTTAAAGGATAATATTTTTTAAAATATGGTTTTATACACCAATGTTAAATTTCTTGAAAGTCTAATATTTTGTATAAACTAACAGCTTTTTTTATAAGCTAACAGCTGCAATCATAAGTGGGTGTAGAACCCAGAAATGATAATTTAATGACGAGCAGCACTACAATGTATTTGTAGTAACTGTGCAGCAAACTACACATTTAAAAGTAACAAAGTATTTTGTGAAATGGCTATTATTAAGTACTGTTTTACTGATTATAATGTGCAATGTAATATTACCCATTTATTTCAGCAGACATTAATAAAAATGAAGTTATGTGCACTGTTAGGTATTTTAATACAAGACA